GAAAGCAATTCCTAAACTCCATATTACTAAATAAATATCAGTTATTATTGTGTGATACTTAAAAATGATGCTGCAGGAAGATTTTGTGACCATTACTGGATGGTTCCATGAAGAGAGTTTTAGATGCTAAGGGACCTGGTAGGTGGTTAGCTTTGCAGTTCAGAGAAGAGGTAATAGAATAATCTTGAGAAGGGTTAATGACCATAGAAGGAAAAGGAGACATAAAGGACCCAGTGATTAATGAAAATTCAACATATCCTGGTGATTAATGAAGAGAAAACAAATGGGACAATTCTGACATTGGGGGAACAGTGGACAACACTGGAACATATTGGACAAGATAGTGATGGGGATCTGGAACTGGTGGCTAAATCTGTAAACATAGATGAGCTCTCTACAGGGGAAAAAAAGTAGGCAAACTTCAGAAGTACAGAAAGAATACTGGAGGGAGATCATGGAATTTTGCAGATAAAAACAGACTACACACTTTAGTTCTTGGGAGGTGGCTGATCCTTTAATAACTGGTACAGTCAGCCCTCCATATTTGTGCATTCCCCATCCAGGAATTCAACCAACCACAGATCAAAAATATTTTTTAAAAAGTCTGTACTAAACTTGTACAGACTTTTTTCTTGTTATTATTCCCTAAGCAGTGTACTATAATAACTATTTACATAGCATTTACATTGTATTAGGTATTATAAGTAATCTCAAGATGATTGAAAGTTTACAGGAGGGGGCTGGAGATATTATTCAATGATAGGCACTTACCTAGCATGGCTTGCCTAGCATGCATGAGACACTGGGTTCCAATCCCCAGCATGGCCCAGAACAAAAACAGAACACCACAACCAAAGGAGAATGTCTGTAGTTTGTATACAAATATTCTGACATTTTAAATCTGTTGTTTTATAGTACTGGGGATTGAACATAGGGCCTTTCACATGCTAGACAAGTGCTCTATCACTGAGCCACATCCCTAGCCCTAGAACCAACCTTTGTCCAGCGCAAGTAGTCAGAAGATACAGCTTGCTTAGTTGCCTGAAAAAGTGAGGTATGGGCAAAAAAGGAAAGCTAGTGGATGAAATCTGTGCTGAAGACATGCTAAGTTTGTCCAGCACAACTTTAAGCATTCTGAAGTAATTGCTAAATTTTAAAAATCAAGAGATTTCAAATACAAATATAGGTTTTTATTCCCCTGGGAAAACGCCCATCTGGTAAACTGGTACCGTTGCAGGCAATAGTTGTGCAAATAAAAATAGAGCCTAAAGGATCTCTTGGAGGCTTGGGGTGGAGGAAACCTCTAAGAAAGTATGGTTTCTGTTGAGGATCAAGTGTGGTAGTCACTTTGAAGAATGCTTTGAAGGCCTAGAAGCAGGAACCACTAACACTGCTTGTAGGACTCCAGGAAAGCTTTCCGGAAGAGGTGACATCTCAGATGAGTCTTGAAGGATGAATATGAAAGAATTGTCTAAGAAATAGAGGGGTATAAAAGAGCATTCCTAGAAGACATAGGGTAAGGGTGCCAGTAACTGTGCCATGATAGATAAGCACATGTTCTTATGTGGCCAAGCCAACAATTTATCCTAATTAAGGAGGGGATGCCATTATCTACTCCCCATGCTCATATTTGACAATCAGGGATCTTCCCCAGTAGGTCAGCAAAAGTGCCCCAAGAGTTGAGAGAGAGAGAGAGAGAGAGAGAGAGAGAGAGAGAGAGAGAGAGAGAGAGAATCTGACTCTTTTTTCTCTTGGCTTTAAGGACAGCCACATGCAAGTGTAATCTTCTTCTTCTTCTTCTCCTTTTTTTTTGGATTGAACCCAGGGCATTGTGCATGCAAGGCAAGCACTCTACCAACTGAGCTATATCTCCAGCTCCTGCAAGTGTGTTCTTTATTCCCTCTGCCCACCAGCAAATGACCCCCTGACTCCATGCCGCACCAGGAGAAATCCCTCACCTGGGAAAACCGAATCTACCATAAGCACATTTTATCTAAGTGAGCCTTTACATATAGTATATTAAACTGTAAACTCCTTTTTGCTTATACATCCTCCCTCCCTCTAAGACTGAGCACTCTGGCGTGTAGTATGTGCTCAATGGACATTTATTAATATGAAGCAGGGACACTTCTGTAGGATCTGGGAAGTTGCACATTTACTGTTGACCCTAAATGAGAATTAGAGCACTGTGCTTTCTGACCAAAAATAGCATGGGATTTAGTCAGAGACCTTAGATTTCAGTCTTAGTTCAGTCAGTCAAGAGCTCTGGGGCTGTAGATGAGTCACATAACCTTGCTTATCTATTTTTTTAAACTCCAAATTTTATTTTTTGGGGGGATACTGGGGATTGAACCAGAGTATACTAAGCACATGCTCTATCAATGAGCTACACCCCCAGCTCCCCCCCAAATACACAAGTTTTCTGAATTACATGGGTGTACCTGGAAAAACTACAAAAAATGGAACAGTAGTCATTTATAAAAAGGAATGAAGTACTGATATATGCTACCACACTGATGAACTTTGGAAGGCATGATAATAAGTGAAAGAAGCCAGACATATTTATGATTTCACTTGTATGGAATGACCAGAATAGGCAAATCCATAGTCAGAAAGCAGATAGGTAATTTCTAGGGACTGGAGGGTACATGGTTTTGTTTTGGGATAATGAAAATGTTCTGAAGCTAGACATGGTGTATGGCTGTACAACATTGATTATATTAAGTGCCACCTTACAATGGCACTTTAAAATGGTTACAATGGCCTGAGAACTCATTCAATCTTGCATTCTACACACAGCCTCCAATCCAGAGAATCTATAAGGAGTAGGTGCCTTTCCACTGAGAAGCCTCATAGGAAGAGAAGAGTTGAGTAGGCAGAGAGGGGAGGCAGACTAAGCGAAGGACACCTGAACAGCTTCCCTTCTGGATGATAGATATTTGTTTCCTTGATTGCCAGTTGTTCACCCTGTTTGTATTTAAATGAAAGGAGGCTTTGAAGTGGGAGCCACCTCTGAACAAGGCTTGGGGTTTCTGGCTCCGATGGTAAAGTTCAGACTTGTTGAGATCTGTTTGTAGTCACAGGTTACTGTTTCTGGTGGAAAAGCCTCAAGTTTTGGTTAATAATAAATTAGGAGGCATAGAGGGAGTAAATTTGAGGGAGGGGCAAGGAATGAGTTCCTCCTGGACTTGATGTGAGAGGCAGTTTTCTAATTTGGCCTTATGGTTTAGGAGAATCCTTTTTCTCTTATAGTCACTGGGTTTTATTTTATTATTAATGTTGGTTGCATCTCAGATCATATTCTCCTTGGTGAAGAACATCTTTAAATAAGTGCATCAATAAAAGTTAAAAGTGCTGGGCTAAGCCCTAGCAATGCCTTGAGGACCTCATGATTATCAGTTTAAGGAAAACTTGGATTATTTGAAAGTTCCTTGAAGATGGCTGGCGACTCAATGATAGTTTAGTTTGTGTATTCAGAAAAATTGCTCTCTTCAGAGTTACATGTTCTGCCAACCCACAGAAATTGGAAGTCCCAGTTACAGACTTCACAATCTGTTTATGCTGATGATCTCCAAGAGTTAACACAATGCAGAGGAGCCTGCAGCGGGCATTCTAAACAACAGCTAAGCTGATATCTACAGCTCCTCATAGCCAACCATGTCAACGTGGTTTACAAACAACAGTGGAGGACTTCTCAACAAACCCTCTGAGGGCGATAATTGTAATGACGGTTCATATCTTCACCCTATGTAATTTTATGGGAATTGAGAGTCTAGCCAAATAATAAGTTCCAGCCCTTTTTATCTGCCCAGTTCCCAGCACACTCCCGAGGTGTCTGAGGCACTTCTCACCCTAACCTCTTAAAGCAGATTGTAACAATAACAACAGTAATGACAAGTTCCCAATCTGCACAGTTCCCTTCATTAAAGGAGCCCTGGGAGCTTCAAAAACACTCATTAATGGAATCTGTCAAAACTTGGAAGGTACTAGCTCATTCCCAGTTTTCTGGTGGCTAAGTGGTGTGAGGGGGAAGAAGGTTTAGGGGGTCTTCTGCTCCATTAGTCCCTGTGACCCTGCAGTCAAGAGTCTTGGGTTCTGGACTCACCTCCCCTAAGTGCTACTATCAAATTGCTTTCTTTTTCTGGGGTTGCAGTTCCCTTACATACACAAGATGGGGTTGGACCTGAAGGTCTCCAAGTTTTCCAGAATTAACCCTGACTTTGTCCCCTTGGCTTGAGGTTCAGGTGTTGGGTGTTTTTCACGCTTCAGGGTTTGATTAGACTTTTTGCCGAACCAGGAGCGGGGTGAGGGTGACATGGGGTGAGGTGAGAGTGAAGAATGCCTGCCAGAGTCAGGGACATGTCAGAGATTCCTGAGCCCTTTTGATGGGAAGCAGGTCTGAGATGGTAAGGTGAGGCTCTAGGGCCATTTCGGATTTCCAGGACCCTCTGGTGGCGGCAGCGAAACAGAGTAACGTGGACGCCTTCCTCCCCCAGCCCAGGAGTTGGACGGCTGCGGGGTGGCAGCGGGGAGGCAGGTATCCCAGCGGGAGGGCTCCTCGCGGCTTTGGCCTGCGGAAGGCTCATCAGGTGGCCTCGCAAAGAAGGCCTATGGCTCAGAAGTGGGCTTAGGGACAAATCCCAAGCCTCCCGGTTCCCCAGAACTTGGGCCCGTCATCCGGGAGAAATTGGATTTTCCTCTATGGGTGGGGGGCGGCAAGCAGGCTCCCCGCCTCCGAGGAGGAGGGGAGGAGGGAGGAGTCCGACGGGGCGTGTCGCGCGAAGGAGCGCCGCGCGCCCGGTGCGGCCCCCTAGGAAGTGGATTTGGCTGCTCCGGATCCAACCCCGCTTCCAGGTTTTCTCCCGGCCCGGCCCTGCGTGCTCCCGCCTGTCTCCGGCCCCCCCCCCCAACGCCGCCCGCCCCCTCCCCCTTAGTGCCGCCCGCTTGGCCAAGTTTGCCGAGCGTCGCTGAGCAAGCCGGCCAGTCAATCAGCAGCAGAGCTGAGAAGGGCACAGCGGTGCGGCCGAGGGCAGAGTGAGCCGAGCTGACTCGAGCTAGGCGAGCGGACCAGCGCCGGGCAGCCCGAGCCGCGCTCAGGAGCGCCAGCCGACGCTGCCCACACCCTCCGCGGTCCTGCGGCGTCTGCCACCTTCCCTTCCTTCTTCGCGCCCCTGTCCCTGCTCCGCCACCCGGTCAGCTTACCCGGTTCCCTGCCCCGCGGAGCCCTCGAGGTCACTAGCCAGTGCCTCCGCTCCCTTGGGCCGCGCACCGTCTCCACACCCTCCTTCTTCTCCTCCTTCTGATCCCCCAGCCAGGAGCCTGGCACCAGGGACCGTTGCCTGACGCGAGGCCCAGCTCTACTTTTCGCCCCGCGTCTCCTCCTCCTGCTCTCCTCCTCCTCTTCCCCTTCACCAACTCTAATTCCTTTGCTCTTTTGCTCCACTTGGGAGCCACCGACTCCGCGCCTCTCGGCCCGCTCCCGCAGCGCCCTTTCCGGTCCCGTCGCATCCAGTTCCAAAGGTGGGGGAGCGTGCCCGTCCCTGCCCGCATCATGGCACGGCTCGGCTTGCCCGCACTTCTTTGCACCCTGGCGGTGTTTAGCGCCGCGCTGCTGGCTGCTGAGCTCAAGTCGAAAAGTTGCTCGGAAGTGCGACGTCTCTATGTGTCCAAAGGCTTCAACAAGAATGATGCCCCGCTCCACGAGATAAACGGTAAGTGGGAACCCCCCGGGGCGGGTGCAGAGGCAGGCACCCTGAGAAAGGGCTGCGGACGCCCTCCCGCGCTGGTGCCCGCGCGGAACCCAGGACCCAGGTAGTGGAGAGGGAGAAATGGGCAGGCGAGAGAAAGTGAGCGAGCCAGCCCCCGCGAAGAAGAATATGCCTCGCGGGTGCGGCGGCCCCCAGGCAATGCGAGTGTAGGGGCGCCGCCAGTTTGCCCAGTGCCACTCCCGCGCACTGCTTCTAACTCCCCTCGCGGTCTTTCCAGTCTTGGGAAGCCACTCTGGCCCTCAGAGTGCGTGTCACCGGCTCTCTCGCCTTTTCCGGGTTGCAGTCTTTACTGGCTCCCCGCTTTGTTGTGTGGGTGACCAGAGGCCGGGTGGGGGTGGGGGTGGGGGAACCTCCTAGAAGGTGGAGGGGGGGGGGGGGGGGGGGGCGCAAGACGTGGAACTTGGTGTTTCATTGATGTTCTTTTAAAACCCCCTCCCCGCCTCTCTTCCACCGCTGACAAGGATTAGGAGTTTTAGTAGCTGCAAAGGCTTTAGAAGCCGCTTTTAAAAAGCGAGCGACTTTCCCCCCCCCCCCCCCCTCTCTACCCCTCCAAACCCTGACTTTTCCCACCTCTCCTGCTTTCCGCCGGGGGCCGCAGAAGAAGGGTGTTACCCCCCCCCCTTTCTTTTTTTTTCTCACCTCATTTTAAGGGTTAATTGCACATTCAATTACAGACCTTTGAAAGGACTGATTACAGGAAACCTGAATCTCAGTTTGGAGATGGTTATGCAAATGAAGACGGCTTAGCCTCTGAAAAAGTTCACCGGATTTCAGCGCTGGGGGCTGCAAGGGTGTTTGTGAAAGCCCTTTTCCGAGCGCTGGGGAGGCAGCGTTCCGGGGGGGCGCCCTCGCCCTTCGTCGTGAGGCTGGCGGCGATGCCGGGGTGGGTCCTCTCCCGGTCGCATTCGCACATTCGCAGCAGCCAACTGTTGCGCTCAGCCCTGCGGGCTGCGCTGGGGCTGGTGACGGCAGCGGCGGCGCAGGTAGCCTGTTCGCCCTGGGGGCTCAGAAAGAGCCACGAATCTAGCTGGCTGGTGGCCAGCACATCCTAACAGAGGAGTGAGCGATTCTTGCCCCAGGGGCCGAGCCTCCATTCCGAACCTTTCATGGAAGTGAGCACAGCCCGCCTTAGCCTCGCCTGCTGGTTGCCCGGGTAGGGCAGGCAGGGGGCCGGCAGCCAGCAAAGGAAATACTGTAATTTTAACCAGGCGCTTCCAAAGGCTTAGGAAGACTTGGGGACCATTTTTTGGAAGGGCTATTAATAACCCTGGAGATTAAGTGCAGTCATCAATTACATATAAATTACAAAGGTAATTGAGGGAAGTTGCTGGGCACTTTCGGAGTGTAACCGGCATATGTCTAGAAATAGAACCGAAGAAATTGTTGGAGTAGCCCAGGCGCCCACTGCACCTTGGCAGTTATCAAATAACTAGCACACTACTGATTAAAGACTGTTTGCCCTTCAGCTGCCTATCTTTTTGGGAGCTCAAGTATGTCCTCAGAGCTGCACGATTTTATTGGTTGTAGAGCCCTGAAAAGCCCTCTTTCTTTCCCCTTTTCCTCCCGCCCAGCCAGAAAAAGTGACGTGAACCAGCAGCCACTGAAGCTTGGGGGCTCTGCAGGTCAGACCTGGGATCTTTGTGCCCTGCACAGTTTGGGCCTGGGTGCAGTGGAGATGATTGGCGTGAAGGTTACAGTTGTCATTCCCACGTTTTGAAGGGACAGATGCAGCTATGAACTTAATGGGAAAGTGACAAGTTTTCATCTTCTGCTCATGCAAACAATATAAGCCTTTGAGATAGACTGGAGGCATTCAGGGAGCGGGCTGTGAAATTCCCCTCCCCAGTTTCTCCAACTTTGCTCTGTGCAGTCTAAAAATGGCAGGGCATCTTTCCTAGCCAGCATCTCAGGAAAAAGGAAGCTTGAAAGGTGCTCAGAGACTCCCATGCTCTAGGTGTTCCCTTTGATTGTTATGGTCCCTGTGACACACCTGAAGAGAATTTTTGCATAAATGTCTATCTGAACCCACCACCCCAGATAGGGGAGTTATTAGTGACCAGCAGCAGGAAATGGAAGCTAATGTGCTCACACCCAAAACATTTTATTCTTTTTGTCTTGTCCTTCATCTCCCTCCCAGGGCTGCTGCTTTTATTTCCCCTTTTGAATGACCTACTGGACTGCATTCTCCTGAGGAACAAAGGAAGTGCCTTTTTAGCTGGAATCCTTGGAAGACCACCAAGGACTTTAGCTCATGCAGTGCAATTTCGCACCACTTTCAACAATAACAAAAATGCATGACTGAATGGCTCAAAAATGTGGAGTGTTAGAAGCATTCGTTTGAGTCTAGGACACTGTCACAACACAGACAGACCCAAGTAAATACCTTTAGAAGGCCAGTATAGAAACAGGGGTAATCTTTACCATTGCCTTGGCCTCTCTAGATGCATATATTAGCCTTATCTCCTTTTATTACTAATCTAATTTGGGTCATTTTTGGGGGGATAGTCAATATAGTGACCTGTATTAGGCCTAGGTGTGATATATATATAATATATATATATTTTTTTTCAATGCAAAACATCCAGGACTGCTTTCTAGGCAGAGGTCACAATGTCTGTGTGCCTGGCTCATTGAGTCCAAGTTTAAGGTTTTATTCTCAGTGGTCTTGCACTTGCCTTCTACAGGTTTGAACAGACTTTAAGAATACTCCATGTTGTGAAGGAGCCTCAGTCATAGATCATAATTAGGGTAATCTGATGTGCTCTCAAGGGTGTCAGGGAGTATATCATGCTGACAGGGCTTCTAACTGAGGTCCTGAATTGCCTATTGACTTGACCCCTGTACTTCTCAAACCATGAGGAGCTCAGATGCCAAGACTAAAAGGGATCATTAACAAAAAAGATGCATTTTTGTTCAGCTTTCAATGGCCATATCTTTTTTAGAGTGCCTACTATGTGTAGTATTCTGTGCTCAGCATCATGGAGGCAGCAAGAAGTGAAGGAGGGGCCTCTGCCACCAGGATCTTGCCTGGTAGTAGGGAGATAAGCCATGCACACGCATCACTGAAAGACACCATGGGGTGTGACAAGTGCTATGAGTGATACAGATGAGAAGTGGGGGCTGGGGGTATGCTCAATGGTAAAGCACATGCTTAGTATGTGCGAGGCCCTTGGTTCAATCCCCAGCGACAAGGGAAAAAGATAAGAGGAGGGGCTAGGGCTGTGGCTCAGTGGTAGAGTGCCTGCCTTGCACATGTGAGGCACTGGGTTCAATCCTAAGCTCCCATAAAAATAAATAAACAAATAAATAAAATTTAAAAAGGGATTTTGGATTAGGGTTATCAGTTAGATGATGCTAGTTCATTTGTAGAAAAAAAAGTTTAAAAATCTAACCATTTTATTGTGACTTCCTTCATAATGACAGAGGATAAAGCATTTTTTTTACTAACCTAACCTTTGTTGAAATTATGTTTTTGAGAGAGGAAATTGGTTAGAAATCTTCTTGAGCTTGCCAAAAGTCACTTTTATATTGGTAGTGATTGATACCAAGTAATATTTTGTGCCATTGTTGTGATTTTGGAGTTTTCACTTCCTGTTCCTATTTATGTTCACGAGCTTGCACCTTTGAGTGTGCGTCCGCATATGCATATGCATACGCATACACACATCTCTATATCCCAGAGAAAGTGAGAATCTGTGTGTATGTATACATGCATATACGCTGAAGGGATAGCAATAATTTCTGATATTGATTTGATTATTGTATGTATGTGTCTTCAAGATTTCTACTCCCCCTTCCCCAATTCAAATAGTTGTATTGGATTTTGCATTGAACTTGTTATATCTAGTTCTTTTGGAATCAGTTTTGCGTCCATGTTTCTCTTGAGGAGAGGGTCTAATTGAGCCATAGGACCCTTCACTTTAGAAATTGTTCCATGTGTTATAGAAACTATCTCAACATGCTCAAAAAAGAACTTAGTCAAAGTTCTGGCTTACGCAGCTCAATCTCTAGTTAGAACATACAAATATAAAATGTTTGATTCAGCATAATTACTATTTTCATTTTTTATTTGATTCACATTGGGTTGCATGCAATTTCAGGATTAGCTGGAGACTAGACTGAGGAATTTGAAAAAGGAAGTTTTTTGTTATCTGTACAAGGGAAACAACATCATTGTTAATCTGAGTCAGTTGGAAGTGTGTCTTTCTGGCTCCCCAGTAACATTAACTGTTTTAGCACTGAGGTTTGTTCCCATGTATGTTTATAAAAAATGCATTTTGGCCTTATGATACAAGCTAGTAGCTGTTGAGGGCTTTCTCTGGGTCTATGCCCCATACTGAAGACCTTACATGACTGTCTCATTTGAAGGCCACAGCCACCATTTTTTTTGTGTGTGTCAACCTATAACCTTTATTTTTTTCCCTTTCTTTTTAAAATTTTTTTTTATTGGTTGTTCAAAACATTACAAAGCTCTTGACATATCATATTTCATACATTAGATTCAAGTGGGTTACCACCATTTGAAGTCAGAATTATCATCATCCCCATTTTACAGAAAGGCAAGGAAACTGAAATTCATAGGGATTAAAAATATATTCATAGTCTTCTAGCTAGTGAGTAGCAGAGGTGGGCTTTGAACCCATGTCTTATTTGACATGGAATATAATCTGTGCTATGGTGTATAAATGGTGAGACAAGAAAGTACCTTTTCTACTTATAGAGGGGTGATACAGATGCAAGTTATGGGATGACCTTCAACTGACTGGTAGAAGATCATAACAGCACCATCCTTACACTGTAGTACAGAGGATCCAGACATATCTTCTGCAGGCAAAAATGCCAAACCCAGACATAGACAATGTAGTGTTAAGAGTAGAAGGAATATGAATTGTATTTCATGGGCCATGGGGAGCCAGAGAGGATTTCTGAGGAGGAAAATGTCA